GTACATAGCAGACTCTACTTTCTCATGGAAGGAATCATATTATTCCTTTGAATTGTGCGGATAGACATGTAACAAGATCAACGCTTTGGCGTGTTGTAGCTTTGGTCAGAGAATTGCCACCTTTTCGCTGTAGGCTTCCATTCAATGTAGGTTAATTGGGTTGGGTACTACCGGAAGGCCAACACGGGCCTCAACGTGCATCGTGATTTCGACACCTGAGTAGAGTAGTTTATATAGGCAGTGGTTCAGAATTTGAGATCCCTGTTGCTTCGCTTCACTGGAGTACAGCTGTGTCTCCATTCGTTACCTTGCCGCCTCATCAACTAGCTGCCTCTGTTTGCCTGTGAGTGAAAAGGTGTTCTGATTTGCGACTGTCAGCTGCCACTCTTTGTATCGTTCCGGGGGAGCGTTGTCTGCCATAATAGAATCGCATCGCGCTCTGTGCCTCTGCAGTTCAGAAGGGTAGCGGCTCTCTCGTCGTTTTGTCAGTCTTCGGCAGACGTTATTATTCTGCTGCGTCCCTGGCTGTCAGAAGGCGCGGAGAAGGTATTCATGAACTTTTCGCTGCCTGCGTTATTTACTCGACAGCCTTCAGCGGCCTTTGTAACCTGAGCGACGACCGAGCTGGTAGAATATTCGATGATGGCAATACCGTGTGGGGGGAGGTGGATAAATTTTTCGTAGGTCTCGCCACGGTCCCCAACCTTCCTTTATTGTACAGGCTTAGGACGTACAACGGCGAAATTGTATTTAAAATTACTCAAAGCCAAATATACTGCTCTGAGCATGAAACCAAATTTTCCGAATTAGAAACTGTCGTGGTTTACTAATTATTCTGTTCGATAAATTTAAAGAGATATTCGAGTAATATCGAAATTTTTCGTAGGCCAGCTTTTATTTTATGACGGCATCGTCGTCATGGGCGTTTTTCGATCCACTGCTGGATGAAGACAGTCCGACACTTTGCTATAAATTTGTTTTCTGGTTTGATCCGGTGAACTTTAGCTCATACAGCCATCGATTGGAGGTCGTCCTACGGGCAGTTTACTGTTTTGGGAGCCAATGTAACGTCTGTCTGGTCAAGCGACGATCGATTCTTCTTGCGATTTGGGCAGCTCATTGCTACTTTTAGTTTCTGATTTGGGCAGTGACACCACCGATTCTTGTAGCAGCCTTTATCCGTTTATTCGTCTTTCTATCTTTTCTTGTTAATCCCAACATACATCTTTCCATACTCCGTTTTGTAGTCTCCAGTTTGCGAATAGCTTTCATGCTGAAAATCCATTTGCCACCCATAGGTTGGCACTTAAAGCACTCGTTGATAGAAACTTGTCAAAATGTGTCAAGCACAAGGGCAGTTTCCTGGATAAGAAAGTTTTGTGTTCTATGCCACTTATTTTTCTGTTGATTTCGCATAGCTGGTTGCGCGCTGCAGAGCTGAGCTGTCCAGGATAAACGTAATTTTACCCTTCTTCAAGTCTAAGCCCGTTGACTTCAACACGTCTGAAGGTCAAGTGTTTGTTAAACATGTTTGAGTGTTCTGAATCTTTTTCAGTATTATGATGCTGTCGCTCTTGAAAGGATCAAAATATCATCCGCAAACCCCAGGTACCTTAGGTAGTGCCCATTTATTTGCAGCGTCCGATTTTCCAAATGGAGTGCCATGTACACCTATTTTAGGACTGTTATGAATATATTCTGTGATATTGCATCACGCTACGGGACGCCCTTTTCGATTTTAACTTCTTTGTGTTTCCGTGAAGCTTCACACTGGCAAATGAATTTTCATAAATCATGTTAATGAGATTTATATATCTCTTCTCGATTCTCTGACTCTTCAGCGAATCCAGTACAGGAAGTCGAAGGCTTTCTCGAAATTCACAAAACCGATGCGGAGGAAACTTATACTCTTTGTTTGTGCTAATCACTTGTTGCAACATCTGGAGATAATCGATCGTACTAAACACAGTATTGTGTAACGTATCTCTTTTCAGTATCATGCCTGGTTTACAAGTGTTTTAGTGGGCGTTCGGCGTGACCCTGTGGGAGCTGGTCTCCCTGGCACAACAGCCGTATCATGAAGTCGACCCGTTTGAGATAGCCGGCTATTTGTTGGAAGACCAACGTCTCTATCAACCGTACAACTGTCCCGACGAACTGTAAGCGTTCACAGTATGTAAATTCAGCTGCTTGATCTATAAAGTTTCGCTTTTTAGTTACGGACTGATGTTTTGCTGTTGGAATTTGCACCCAGAAGCAAGGCCTACCTTCACCCAACTTCTCGGAGCGTTGGAAGACTTTTACAGTCGCTTGACCGAATATATATGATATGGCTAACGGCATCTAGTTGGCATCTCTTTCTTATTTCAACGTCAGTCCAAAGATAATCTCCAGTTGGTGCTAATTATGTACGTTCATACTTTGTTTTGTTGAGCTGTGGTTTCTGTTTTAAGAATCAGTCGTGTGTATATATCTTAAGAATAGAACATACCGAAGCAGTCTCAGAAAGTTTACTATTTTGCATATGAACATTCCATTTGGAATAAACTTTACGAAGGTTTTGATAGTTACCACTGCTGACTACCACCATACTATCCATCGATCGGTGATCCCAAATACACCATTGTGATTTCTGAATTTCCAAAAACCGCCGACATGCAGGGGTACAGCCGAATCGGTGCCAGCTGATTAAAGGCTATGCCTAAGAATTCGTTCCCTTTTTCGAAGTAAAGCAGATGATTGTCACAGTCTAAAATCACGCGTATTTTCTCTCCGACTTGATAGCGTGCCGGATTGTTGGTAGCCGGGTAGGTGCCAACGTTCTTACCGTCGTGACACAGCGTGTTATCGACCAGGTTCCAGCCCCAGCCTTGTTCGTCACTGCCGAGCAGCGGCAGATAGCTAAAGCTCTGCAGGGCAGCGTGCCGACTTGCGACGCCGATCACCGCGACCGTTCCTAACGGTCCTTCCCACCAGATTTCCCAGCAGTGGCGTCCGCTGATGAAGCCTCGTTTGCCACGCGCCGCGTCCGTGCTCTGTGCGACCGGATTTCTGTGAAACGTAAAGCCGTTCTGTTTGATGTATGCGTTCCGGGAACAGTCAGCCGGGTTCCACGCGTGCAGTATTGCCCTAAAAGACAAACGTAAGTCAGAGTGATTTATGCAGACCTGACTTATACAAAAGTCTGTTCAGGCACACAGCGGCAAATTCACTGAACACTGAAGCCAGCTGTTTTACACCTACCTGGATTTTTTAGACGACGAATGCACAGCGGCATGAACAGATGTATGCGATTTGACTTCAAGAGCGAATGCGTAAAAATAGCAATGGGCTGGGCATGATTCTACGGTCTATCACTGGACAAAAAAGATACTGAACTATGTTTCGAGGAGCAGCAAACGGCCCGCATCAAGGCATGCAGATCGACGGCAAAACGAAAGCAGAAATCAAGTTTATTCGAACATAGCCAGTTGTTATGCGTGTGTGGGTTGCGTTTGCTGACTCACTACCTCAAGATAATAAACAACAGAAGACGTACCCATAGCGGAGACCAACAAGCACCTTGAAAGGCATGACTTTTTACCATTAATCCGGGTTTAGGTCTCCAAGCAGATGTATAAAGAGTTGAAACAGCTTGCCACTGAGATCAAAATAGGAAACTGCATTAAAACTTTCTGAAAAGTACAGACAGCAAGAGAATCAAACCGAGACTGTGTTTCCAATACTCCTGGCACTGGCAGATACAACTGTTAAGTATACCTAGTACTTATATTGGCAACTACATGCTCACCATAAATTAGAAAGTTTATGAGTTTTAGAAAAAACCACCTTTCATGACCTAAAGTGACTGTCGCTAAATGGTACTACTAATGGAATGAAACCCGGTCCCGCTTTGTGGTTACCGTACTGGTTGTGTTTTTCCTGACAAGTAAGTCTTCATAGAGTTAGTTCTATAAGGATTCGATCGTGCAACACTTGCCATAGCCTCACTACGACTAACAGCTATTAGACAGTTCAAGGTCTATCTTGAAGTACTTTCCAGTT